TACATCGCACCCTGACTGGCTCATCTCCTCCCCGAAACCCCTCTGCAAGGGAATCTCCAGTGGCCTACTAATGGGCTTTGGATCTCCACTCTGCACTCCCCCCATCATTCACTATGGTACAAGCCTCCACTCTTACTGCCTATTTCTACCCTGGGACTCCTGCATGGAAGGCAAATAGTGTTGCAAGGCCTATATCGCTTCACTATTTTCCACAGACCATTTCTTCCCTTTGAGGTAGGAAGCAGTGTGCTGCCAATCGAAGGGCCCTCTGCTACTAACACAATAACATTGATCTGCTGTATTAAATAGTTGGTTAAATAGTGATTCTGGTAGATTACTAGATATACTCTCCATCTTCTTCACCCACCACTCCCTCTAGACCCTGCTCCCCCTTTTTCAGTGAGACACACTTTCACATAAACTAACAAGTACTATCACACCTCTTAAAATCCCCTTTTCCAATGTATAAAAAATCACTGTATTTAATCAGAAGATTTATTATGATTAATACCATCACTTAAACCCTACTCTCAAGGCCCTATCTCCTATTCCTGTTATACACCCAACTCTATCACATCGTCCTCATTCCCACACAGTATGATTTCCAGCTTTTACCTGATCTTCCTCCTCTAACCCAAAGAGCCACCCTCCCATACACAACCCAGAACCCTGCACACCATCTCCAACTGGACCACTGTGCCTCACCAACAATAGTGAACAACAATACCCACAAAAATCAAGATAAACAAATGTCAACAGCTGAAGGTTACTCAAACCCCATGGAATACAAAGAAAAAAGAGAAGAAAAAAAGGCCCTTGAATTATCAAAAGAGAATACAGAGAATGATGTTTAGGACCATACAAGAGACCTGGGGATCAATCTTTGGGAAAAAAGAAAGAAATTGAGATACTAAAAATCTCATACCCAAAGGAAATCCAGAAGCTAAGCAATATGCAGAAAACAAAAACAAACAAAACAACCACAACAAACCCATGATACAAGAACTGAGCAATAGTTCATGAAGTAAACACAGAAGACATGGGTGCCATAGCAAAGTGTATAGAAATTAGATGATGCCAGGCCATCAGATAGGCTGGCATCTGGGGTGTTAAACTTAAAGGCTTGTTTCCAAACAACTACCCATCTAAGTGAGACACCAACTGAGTTTGACAGGTAGATTAGGGATAAAGGAGGAGGTTTCCACCAAATGCCTCCCCTAAACGAAAATTAGTTGGTCATTCCACAAAGAACAGGCTGGAAAGGAATCAGGCACACACTGGACACCTATGGGAAGATCCCAAATTGGGCATGCTCCGAGCCACATTACCTAGATCCAGGTGGAGATCAACCTGGGCACACCCATGTGGCAACAGTTACAGTGCATCACACACATGTGCCTGCACTCAGCCGCTGAGATCAGTCAATACCCTCAACCACACATCCCAGCCAGTGGGATAGGAGGGGATAAAAGCAGGGCCCAGGGCAGGCCACTTCTCTCCCTCTGTCAGGTACACGCTCTTGCCTGTAGGAGGGTGGGTTCTTTCCCGTGTGCATGGTATGTACATGGGGTGCTCTCGGGGCCCACACGGTCTTGGCTCTGGTCTCTTGTTTTTTGGGTGCTCTGGGCTCCGCACTCATGACTCCCCAACTCAGATTCCATGCTCCTGTTCTGGTATTCCTTCCACGTGTTTTTTCACACTCCTCTGAACTGGCCATCTTCAGTCTCGAACTCTTGCACAATCCTCGTGCAGCTTTGCATGTTTTCCCGAGAGATAGCTTGCACTTTTTGAGACTGTAATACCTAAAACTTCCCTTTCCCTCATAAAAGTGACTTGGATTTACAAAAGTGCTTCTGTTGTGTAAATTCTTTCAGCGTTGAG